TCAACTTGTGTGACCCTGACCATATAATTTTTGTTTCACTAACCTGGAAATATGAGTTCCATGCCCGCAGCCTCTGAACTTCAAAGACTCCTCGTAGGATTATATTGTTTTTTTTTTATATTCATTACCATTAGTTATTTCCTTTATCAGAGTACTTGATCATTTGTGTAAATATATACAATTCCATTTTCATAACAAATACTACGTATGGAAATTCTAAGACGATCTGAGTTATTGCCGAAAATAACTCTGAATACCAACTCAAGCGATGGCACCCATGAAGTTGATGACGGACACTTGACGTAACGTTACATGATTGGTGGGATTAACGTGTCCCTTCTGCGCATGTGCAGGATTAAAAAATGAGCTTTATATTAAAGCCTGGTCCAGAAGTGCATTAAAAGTTGATCCTGGACGCTGCCAACGCGCATGCGCACTTGAGATCTGGATTAAACTTTAATTAACTTTTATGGCACGTACAGAAGACGCCCTAAGTATTATGTATGTGTATCTCTCTCTCTCTCTCTCTCTCTCTCTCTCTCTCTCTCTCTCTCTCTCTCTCTCTCTCTCTCTCTCTCTCTCTCTCTCTCTCTCTCTCTCAGTTCCCAGTCATCATCCTGTCACCATAGTGTGCAGACGTGTTGAGTGACCTCTTGTGACCTTGACCTGTCCTTACGGGATTTGTGTTACCTTGACTATTAAGGTCTTCATAGACCTGCCACCTGTGCATTGCTGCAGTGCGCGATAATGTTCACATGATTATTTGTTCTGATTCTAAAGTGATCTAAATATCATATAGTGAATTAAAATAAGTGAAAAAAAAACTACGTACGGACACGATGTGCTGTGTGGGCGCGGCGTAAGCGACCTGTGTCTGCACCTGGGTTTGCACAGGGAGGTCAGGTCGGGCCCTGTTTCTTCAGGAAATGACCCCGACCTCAAACGGAACAATGACAGACACGCCCATGGAAACCGAGGGTAGATATGGTGTCCTCCGCGAGGAAGATATCAGTGGCCTCCCCCAGGAACCAATAAAGAAAAAGGCAAAAAGACTACTACCTGACTCTGTAGAAATCACGCCCCCTGGACACCTGTGCGCACATTTTAAAGCCGACACAAAGCTCCGGACACACGGGGATAAGTATCGCTGGGTATCCCAGGCTTTAAAATTGGACCATTACAATAAGACAAAGGGGTCCATTGAACTTAAGATTGGGAGAAACAATGTGTACGTGAGATGTAAAAATGAACAAATTCTTGCCCACATAACCACTGCCGGTGCATGTGGCGAAATTTTAGAAAAGGCGAAAGTGTATGGAAAAGGCAAGTGCACAAACGTGATTACGTTCGACGTCCCAAGGGAAATCGAAACAGATGAAATGACATCCTACAGTGAACGCGCCGTACATGCCAAAAGCATGAAGGTCAATGGATTGATGACCCAGAGAGTCATCATAACATACGAGGGGGAGGTAATCCCCAAAACTATCAAATG